AGCCAGGAACACGTGGAAACCTGCGAACGGCCGGTGAATGGGAACGAATTATGCTCTTTTAAAACGAAGCACGCTAAAAGAATTGCTTGAGGCAAGGGGAGCAATAGCCAGCGACAAGGCAAAGGCTACCCTGATTGCAGAACTTATGGAAGGAGACAGAGCAGCAGCTGCTGCAGCACCTTCAATGGGGGAAGAACAAAATTAATTTGCAAAAGAATTCAGAATCAGAATGGCTCCATTCCCAGAGCCACCATCTGCAGAGATGGTCAGCAGGCTCTTCGCAGATGTACAGGAATATATCATACTCGAAAGGGTGCAGAGGAATCAGCAAGCCGGAGAAAGAGCCACGACACCGGTCAATGTTCTCCCAGGGAAAGTCAAGATTCCCTACCAAGCCTTCAAAAGCTATGCAGAGGCAGACGGTGGCGTGGACGACTACTTAGAGGACTTTGAGAGGTTGTGTCTACTACATGACATCAGCGAGGCAGATCAGGTACCCCTACTAGCAGGGAGACTATCCGGTCGCGCCTCAGAAGCATACCGGGCGGTATCGGATGAAGACAGCAGGGACTATAACAAAGTAAAACAGGCGATTTTAGCCCGGTACGCGATCACTTCAGAGGCATACCGCACGAAGTTCAGGGACATTAAAAAGCCCACAAAGGACACTCATCTAGAATGGGCACATCAGCTACAGCGAGCTGCAAAGGGGTGGTTGGAAGCCACCAAGGTTAACACGTTGGAGGGTCTGTTCCAATTGATGGTCCTAGAGCAGTTCTTCAATGGGATCCCTGCCTACCTACAAAATTGGGTCAGGGACTGAAACCGCACACCCTGCAGGAGGCTGCTAAGTTGGCAGACGAGTTCCAGGACAACCGGAGAGATCAACACACACAGCACCGACCAGCATCCACCTCCGCACCGGCGATCACCGCAGTGGGCACAATGATTCAACAGCGACCTGGGGTAAGCCAAAATACCTACCCCACCAGGTACTCGGCATGTCCGCCAATTCGGTGCCACACCTGCATTCAACAGGGGCACATTCAGAGGGACTGTCCACGTAATCGACCTAGGCCCAGCTGGAATAACGCAGCACCAAGTAACAGAGCGGCCATACACTGCATACAGGCCGAACCATACCAGATCCCAGAGACAGCAGCACCCCTAGAAGAACTGCTAGGAACACTGCACGAGGTGAACCCCATCCAGGCCACCTCCAATAACCGACAAGGGCACCGCCAGGAGGTACATATGGAGGGGAAAAAGGTACAAGGACTTCGTGACTCTGCGGCTACCTTAACCTTAGTCCGAAGTCATTTGGTACCCAAACCTAATCTTGCTGGAATCGGTGTTGCTGTACGGGTGGCAGGGGGAGCCATTTACAAAGTACCTACGGCCAAGGTACACTTGAATTAGGGAGCGGGGCACGGGAATGTATATGTGGGGATGATGCAGGACTTGCCAGCTGAGGTGATTTTGGGCAACGACTTGGGGGAGACTTCAGCATTTGTTCCGCAGCCCACTGTACAGGAGGCATATCCGGTTGTGACCCGGAAACAGGCTCGCACCACAGCACCATCTAACCACTCTGAGGCTCAGGTAAGCAATGACCCCCCCATGCCCACTGTCATGCCATGGGCCAACCCCCTAGAGTTTGGGTCGGAAGTGGCCCTAGACCCCTCCCTACAGGTATCCAAAGACCGTATTGATAAAGATCAGGCAGGATTAGTTGGGGAAAGGTATATCTGGGACAAAGGACTGCTGTACCAGCATGCAGAAAAGGTAGTGTCTGGATTTATACCTTTACTCATTAAGCAGCTAATAGTGCCTCGGAAGTATAGGTTAGAGTTACTGCGGATCGCCCATGATATCCCCCTGTCTGGACACTTAGGAATCAGCCGTACTAAACACAGGCTGACCCAGAACTTCTTTTGGCCAGGTATTTCACAGGACGTTAAGCGATATTGCCAGACCTGTGATACCTGCCAAAGAGTAGGGAAGAGGGGAGACCGATACAAAGCCCGTCTCTGGTCTCTGCCCATAATTGAGGAACCCTTCAGTAGGGTGGCAGTAGACATCATAGGACCTTTAGCAAAGCCCAGCCCGTCCGGCAAGAAATATGTCTTGACCGTGGTGGATTACGCCACCAGATACCCAAAGGCAGTGGCGTTAACCAACGTCCATGCTGAAACAGTAGCCGAGGCCCTGATGCGAATATTCGCCCGGGTAGGATTTCCCCGGGAGATTATTTCGGATAGGGGCACTCAGTTTACCGCTGAAGTAACACATCAGCTCTGGAGGATATGTGGGGTACAGCAAATCCTGAACTCCGCATATCACCCCCAGTCCACTGGGCTCTGTGAACGGTTTAACTGAACACTTAAACAGATGATCCGTACGTTCATAGACACTCAGAAGGACTGGGAAAGGTTTCTACCCCACTTATTGTTTGCGTATCAGGAGGTGCCCCAAGAATCCACCGTGTTCTCTCCGTTCGAATTGTTATTCGGAAGGAGAGTGAGGAGACCCCTGGACTTAATACGGGAACACTGGGAGGGAGAAGAGACCATTAGTGGCACCCCCATCATACCCTATGTGCTCGAGTTCAGGGAACGCCTGGAGATGCTGATGCTGAGTCCTCCACACCGTCCTTATCATCATTCCTGGACACGGATAGGCAGCCGTGGTCAGGTGACTAGTGTGCCCGAATTGTAAGAGTCCTCGTCATCGGACTCAATGCCTCCTCCTGTTCCGAATCTGACTCGGATGATTCTATTGGGGCTTTTGCCCTCTTCCAACTCCTCACCGATTTTGCCCGGTGGGTGGCTCTTTGTTGTGGTGCGACCACATCATCTTTGACTGGACGTTCCCTGTCCGACTGTACAATTTTAAAGGCTTCCTCGTCTATGTAGCAAGATTTTTTGGCGGTTTTGCGCCCACTGTTATTCACCAGTTTGTGCTCCATGGGGTTAGGAGCAATGTGGGTTAAGGACATGAGGGCATGACTAATGGAGTGAGACAGAATGTCCAACATGGCTCCCATAGTCTAAAAAATGGCTTGGGTTACAATCTATACTTCAAAGGGCGGCTCTTCTAGACACTTTGACTGCAACTATTGGGGAAGGTAGTTATACTGTGTGTTTTACCCTTTACGTACTTGTGTGGGAATAGGATATAGCCCAAGTCATTGATCCCAGTGTAAGACTAGGTTTAGCTTACTGCTGTATCTACCTAGCTAGCTACTGACAGTGGCACTTGAAACAACTTTCAATGGGAGAAGGAGATTGTCATTGTGTTATTAATCCTAGTGTAAGATTAGGTTTAAACAAAGAGAACGTTACCTGCACTCTGGCCTAAATCCCCATGTACATTTAAACAAAATGGAGGCTCTTTGGCTTTATTCCAATGGCCATTTGAATATATAAGCTCACCTGCCACGTCAAGGCAAGCCTCAATAGGTGAGTTCCTACACTAGCCATTAGATATGCTGATATCAGCCAAGAATCTCCAGTAAGACAGGAAGGGGTATTTTATAAACCCTTTCACATTTAACCCTTTATAGGGCTTCTACACATACAATAAACTTTGCTAGTATCAGACAAAGTGTAAACATCTCTAATGAGACATGAAGGGGTGTTTTATAAACCCCTACATACTTAACCCTGAATAGGGCTATAACACATACAAATCACCTTGCTGGTATCAGCTAAAAGGCAAATTTCTCTGAGACAGGAAGGGGTGCTGCCCCTACATACTTATAAACTCTTAATAAGACAAACGTGGGGAGGCTGGCAGCAATGTAACATGGCTGTGTGATACAAAATTCATATACAAACACAAAGATAAAGCACCGCACTTACAGCAGCAGTAGCTTAGTATCCAACAGCTCAAAATACATAGTAAAAACAAAGAGAACGTTGCCTATGCTCTGGCCTAAATCCCCATGTACATTTAAACAAAATGGAGGCTCTTTAGTTTTATTCCAATGGCCATTTGAATATATAAGCTCACCTGCCACTTAAAAGCAAGCCTCAATATGTGAGTTCCTACACTAGCCATTAGATATGCTGATATCAGCCAAGAATCTCCAGTAAGACAGGAAGGGGTATTTTATAAACCCTTTCACATTTAACCCTTTATAGGGCTTCTACACATACAATAAAGCCCCCTTTTTAAATTCTTTATTTTTCATGTGCTCAGATTAACAACAGGCACGCAGAGCCACGACAGCTTCTGCACACATAACATTTTACAGTGTAGATAGCACATTTTTTTTATATATATATGACATGAGGAATACAGGTAGTTAAATATAAATATAGTATTGTTTAGAATGCTAGATTGAACGTGCATTTGTCCTGACTAGTAGCGCTGAGGTTTGTAAGTCCAAGGTATTGCATCGCTAGTAACGACAGCTATAATGGTAGGATATATGTTGCACGTTATGAATTATTTATGCATGCTTAATAACCAGCACGTTGGAAAAAAAGTAACAGTTAATGCTTTCTGCAATGGCATCTGGGGAGTTAATATTGCTGGAGTCTGAGGGACAAGCCTGAACTTAGTACTGTCACTAAAGAGAACACCTGAGGTCCCCTGTGGCATTAATCTAGCAAGTGATTTACAGTGTTGTAGGGAATCTATGCCAAGTAAAGACAGTGTTATTTAAGATAGAGGCAAAAGACTTATGCAGGATCTCTGATTGCTAAGTGTCATAAGCATAACAGGGGCATTTAAATGAGATAAAGGCCTTAAGCCAACAATCTAGGCTGGGGATGATTCACTTCAGTCAAATAAAATACATACATTAAATGCAAGACAATAATAGAGTAGTGAGTAATAGGTTAGTTGTTGCTTGCAGGGTTTAATAGGATTCTCCAGTGCCTGTGAGCGGGTAAGTTTTTGCATTTTCCGGTCAATGGGAGAGAGAGTCTCTGCCTGATAAGCAGGGTCGCCGGCTGTGGGCAGTGCTCTGCAACAGTCCAGTCTGCCTTAGCCTATGCCCTTCCTGGAAGCCTTGCCTGTATACCTGGGACAATGACTCGGTTGTCTGAATAGTATTTCTGCCATCCCTCTTCTTGAGTGTAAGGACCCAGTTGTCGGGCTCGTTTGCTCGCGTTGGTGCTGGGATGCTGGTGGGCGATCTGGGTGTGATCTGCTATTGGCTGCCCGTTGTTCAATTGCCCACGCTGGTCGGACACCGCCTGGGCGGGCCGGCCTGTTGAGGCTTGGGGGTGGCTGTCTGTTTCTCCCGTTGCACTGCTGTTGCAGTCTGGCTCTTTCACAGTGGTTTTCCGGCCACTTTCCGGCATACTTGTTTAGGCGTGGAGCTTGTTTAAGGTAAGCTTGAGGGGGCACTGCCAGTGGTAGTTTCTTAGCTGGGTCACTTGTAGCGGCTTGTCGCTCACCGATTTTCCTCCAGAAAGCCTCGAAAAGTGCATCCATTCACTTTAGAGTCTCTGTTAACAATGTAGAGCCTCGTGTAGGTGAGGCAGTGTTGTCCGCCATTTTGGAGGCCCCAACACCTGTCTTGTTTGGTAGGGTCGTGGGCTTGGTCTTGGGGCATGGAGTCAGCGCTTCTCCTCCGGGCGGGGACCGGGATCTCCCCCACCGGTCCATGGGGGGGTGGGGGGGAGTGTTTCAGTGTTGCTTGCGGCTGTTTGCACTTGGCGGGGAAGCGGCCGTCTTCCCTCGCCACCTCCCAAGGTAGGCCCCATGCTGCCGGTCTTCCTGGTCGTCGGGTTTGGTCTCATCGGGTTCCGGTAGGTGACCCCTGTGTCATGGGCTCCTTTGTAGGAGGGTTGTGGCATAACAGCATGAGAAATTGACAGATTTTTGGCTCTTGTGGCAGGAGCTCCTACAGAGCACGTCCAGCCAGCTTGCCAGTCAGGCTCCGCCCCCCAATATACAGTTTTTAAAAGTTTTTTTTAAGTATTTGTAGAAAGAAAATCCTTTTTTGGGGGTAGTGTGTTGTTCAGTAAAAAACGAAAAAATAGAAAAAAAAATACTTTGTGCAGTAGCCATGTGAGTGCCATCAAACAAACTTTGAGTGGTAGACTGCGTGACTTATCCTAGTTTAAGACTGGTGGTTACAGTTAGTGCTGTGTCCTACTGCTAGTCATTGTCATTTAACACTAACTTGAAACCATCAATTTACAGTTTTTTCTTAAAAGTTCACTCCAGACCCCTAAAGCACTTTAGCTTACTGAACTGCTTTATGTTTGAACAGTGTCCTTTTCATTTTACAAACAGTGCAGGTTTCAATAGAAATTGCCACTTTTATAAAATAATCTTGTTCAAACCCCTTGCCGACAATCAGACCAACGATCCTTTTACTTCCAGGTAGTTTAGCTCAGTGGAGATAAACTTACGAGTAAGGCAATTTCCCAGATCACCGGTGTTGCAAAGACTTCTCATTGATCCACATTGGGAAGTCTGTGATTGGACTGCTACAGAAATTCTGGACTGGGGAAGAAGGGAGGGCTTGCAAAGGCTGCACACAAGAGATCTGAAGCTTTTGCAAGCTATGTTCAAAAGGCAGGTAATTGCCCCCTGCATGCACCTGCCTTGCGTAGACTGCATTGGGAATTGGACAGCCACAGAAAACTGGGCTGGGGAAGAAGGAGAGGCCTTGTAAGGGCTGAACGCAAAAGATGTACAATTTTTTCAATGGTGGTATTTCTACTAATTTATATATATTTTCCGTTTGTAGTAGGATGTTCCTTTAAGTGTTGTGCGAAAGAAAATATTTTTTTGAGGGGGAGGGTGGGAACAAAAAGAAAAAAAAATCCTGTATCCTAGCTACTGCCGCATTGGCATTCATATGACCTTTGAGTGGTAGATAGCCTGCTTTACTCTGGTGTAAGACTGATGGTTGCGGTTGGTGTTGTGTCTGCTGCAGGCAAATGCCAATTAACACTAATTTGTTATAACTAATTTACAGTTTGATATGAGTGTGTACTGTGCAAGTGTGCAAACACTGTATAGTGACGGTATGATATGTACAGTGTAGTGTTTTTTAAAATCAAACACAATAATGTCACAGTAGTAAATCCACCAAGGAACAACCCATTTTGAATTACAAACACCTATTTTTGCTGAATAAAATTGTGTGAGTGTACACAATACACAATAATTCATACCAATATTTATTGTAATAAGAAAAATAAACCCACCATCATCTGTGTAGGGGAAGAGGTTGTGTTCCTCAACCCACCGTCAGCAGTATTACCATGACCTCTGAGAGTCTCTTCCTTGGCCATGAGGACTGCTGAAACCTCCTCAATTGCTCCTTCCATTTCCACCACCACTATTAGTATTATTCAGCTTCAGGATAGTAGGATTAGCATGTCTGTTGTGTTTGATTCACTACCCAGGAGGCCACTGGATTTTGCCTCAGCCTTTTTATGCTGCAATAACATGTACTGCTGCTTCCACAGCTATTACAGCTTCCATGTATTATGGTGTATTGAGCAAGGAATTGATGAAACCAGTGGACTTGTTGCCATTGCCTTTGTTACCCCCTATTTTTGTAACCCCCACCCCCAAAAAAAAGTAACCAAGGGAGAGATCAGCAGAGACTTGTCAGTACTGTCATAGCCATTCTATACTGAAGAGATAGAGCAGAGTACGAGAATAGTGTCCCAAATGTTTGGTCTAGCTGGTGATGAGGAATTTGGTATTGATGATTTTGCTCTTTCCCACACCACTCCAGACGTTAGACATTTACATCTCTCCCTGGAGGAATTTGACTATGGTGCAGAGGAATTAAAAGAGTGTAGTCTGGAACCCATCTCTAGTGGAATAAAGAATCACCAGAAAAGGAATTAGTTCCTTTCTGATAAAATAGGAAGGTTTTAATAATGGTCTCAGCAGAAGTGAGTAACTCCTCAAATCCCAGTATATCAGCCCACACCTTAGGCTGAAAAAGTTATAAAAAAGAGTAAAAATAGCAAAAAGATAAAATCAAGTTGAAAAAATGAGATTGCTGCAACCAGGAGATAGTTACTATCACTTTCAATTCTAAAATACTTTAACTTCAATACTTATAAATATGCAGAAGTAGTGAGTCTGCTAAACAATGTTATACAATGAATCAGTAATGTAGATAGTAATGATTATATGATCTACAACATACACAACCCAAATACAATTTAAAGCACTATGAATCAGCAAAACAGTCCTAGTTAGTCTTTCGAAGCAGACAGTTGAAAGACTAACTAGGACTGTTTTGCTGATTCATAGTGCTTTAAATTAGTAAGGATTGTAACTATTATCAGTCTCTTTATATGTTGATACAATCTAGTGCTACATGGGTTGTGTATATTGTAGATCATATAATCATTACTATCTACATTACTGATTCATTGTATAACATTGTTTAGCAGACTCACTACTTCTGCATATTTATAAGTATTGAAGTTAAAGTATTTTAGAATTGAAAGTGATAGTAACTATCTCCTGGAACCAATCTCTGTCTGCAGTAGAATCATCTCATTTAATGGAAACCGTTTAAGCATCATCTCCAATGAGTGCCAGAAGTAACTCACACAATGATATTATTAACACCACCACTTTCCTTCCCTTTACCATTAATCAACCAAGTCTTAGACACATCTTCAACTGCCACCACTACAAATCCACCCTCATATTCATTAATCAGAAGGGCTGAGGCTAGGAGGTCACGTTAAAGCTAAGTTTGGTGCTACTTTGTAAACCTCACAGAAGTCAAGTTGCAATGTGTAAATTAAGTGGCAAGGAAGAAAGCATGGTGAAGTTTCATCCCACTAGTACCGGTATGACCCAACATCTACACCAATTTTCTGAGTTATTATTGGGGAAGAATCAGAAAAAAAAAATCTACTTATACTTAACTAACAAACACCGTCAGTATCGCCTCCACTACTACCACCCTGAAGCAGAGCAGGGGAGTGTTTAGTTTAGTGCCATTAGGCAACAGGTACAGGCATATTCCTAGTAGTCCTCAACCCAGTGATGTGTCTGCCAGCCCACCTTTGAACATATTGTTGATAGAATTCCCTTGTGAATCACTTTCAGCAGCAAAATAGTCCCATCACTGTACAATTACTGTGTGCTACTATTAAAGGACCAGCTTGCTCAGGCTGTAGGTCAATGGGTGCCCTTTACCACAGATTTATGGAGTCCTCTTAGAGGCCAGCATGCCATCCTCTCCTTGATGGCACACTGGTGGCAGCCCATGTTGCCTGGGTATGGTATTGAAAGCAGCATGTTAAGTTGGGAGTGGATCGTAGGGCAGCATGACTATCTATCCCTTGTGCTACATGCTGAAGTGATGGACAAAAAGCACACTTCAGCAAACTTATTAAATGCCATCAGATGAATAACCCCCTTTTTTTCCTCTCTTCCTTTCCTCTCCTCTCACTCCTTTTTCCTGTCATCACTCATCTATCCATACCCTACTGTCCTCTTTGTGTCAGCATCCCCCCCCCCCAACCTGAAATGGTCACCAGTTTAGGATGAATGAGTTCAAAGCCGCCTTCTTACACAGCTATAATTAGCTACTTAAGTGAGGTTGCCACAGGATGGCTTCTCTACTGTACTGAGATGTTAAATCCTTATAACCTATAAGATAAGATTTCAAAAATCCCACCAAACTCTTGCTCTCAAAATGCGCAGCAGACTATGGAGGGTTGGGTGGCACGCAGACCAGAACTGAAATGAAGGGGGAGATAGGGGTCAGGTGTTACAAGACAAGTGATGCCAATTAAATCTGGAAGGGATATTGAGTTGGAAAGCCTCAGAGGGCTGCCTTCCATACTTGACAATGGAGATGACGAATGGAGATAATATGCACATATATATAGGGTACTGTTTCTGTAGCCTGCTTTTTTCTAAAATGTATGTATTGCAACATAATTGTTTATACAGTTTACTCATATTTTTTCTGAATGTTCTGTATTGGAAATTGTCCTCCCCTGCGTGAGAATGTTGTTGTCCTATCTGGAAACAACAGACAACAATTTGAAACAAATTGGTTGGGAGATCAGGCAGTCATCAATCTACATGCACAGAATAAAAAATAACCCAAAGCACACCAGATTAAAGGACCACTATAGTGCCAGGAAAACATACTTTTTTTCCTGGCACTATAGTGCCCTGAGGGTGCCCCCACCCTCAGGGATCCCCTCCCGCCCGGCTCTAGAAAGGGGAAAAGGGTTAAAACTTACCTTTTTCCAGCGCTGGGCGGGGAGCTCTCCTCCTCCTCTCCTCCTCCGTTCCTCCCCGTCGGCTGAATGCGCACGCGCGGCAAGAGCTGCGCGCACATTCAGCC